ATTTAACTGCTGAAGTTTATCTAACCTTTCTACTATCATTCAGCTATAACTTTTGGAAGGACTCCTTTTTACCTTGTGTAGTTACATCATCTATCTTTTGATCTCCTTCATATCTTTTAATGCATTTATTTGAAGCCACTACTGTAATGTATTCAGATCACTTCCACATTGTCTGGAAATACTCTACCCTGTTCATTCCCCAACGTTTTTCAAAGAAACTTCTTTATTTTTGAGTAACTTTCTTAGAATAATGTTTGGTTTCTAAAAGAGGTTTAACTTTTTTGCTCCAGTAGGGATGCCCAATATAAGTTTATTTTGGTCACTGTTACAAGGTGAATATTTCACAGATAAAAAGTCATGCACAGGACTTTTGTTTATACAAAATAACTGTGGCTTTTGCTTGTTTGCGGGTTTTGGGGGTTTTTTCTTTTTGTTGGTTTTTTTTTTGTTTTTTTTGTTGTTGTTGTGGGTTTTTTGTTGGGTTTTGGCCGGGGAGCAAGTTTCTGCTTACTTGCTCCACAAAGCAGTTAATGCACCACCTAATAACATAGTTCCCCCAATACAACATGTAATGTCTACACCAGTCTAGACTAGGTATCTCCCACAAGAATTATGTTCCCTGTTTTTGTAGCCTCTCTGACCTTCCTCAGTTTGCCTAAGAGCCTGTGACACACAACAACATGGATGATAAAACAAAGAAAGATAAATTAAGTGTTAACTCATTAATTAGTCCATGTAGAAGAAACTCTAAAACTCACTTCTCTCCCTTTATCCCAAATGACCCTGACTCAGGACAACATTTCTACCATAAGAGTATATATCTTGTTCTCTGGATCTTACCAAAAGCCGTAGTGTAGACAAGCAATTCACTGAAGAACAGTACAAAGAATATGGAGGTTCTACATAACAACATGAAATGCTAGCACTAAATTATTGCATTCACAACATACTAGAATTATTTCAAGGATGTATTTTTAGTAACACACACTACCTATATGCTAATCATGACACTAAGAGCTGTGTCTCTGTGTACAGGCTTTCAGGCAGCAACAAAATCTATGAAAATGGATTAGGCTATCAAGAAGTTCCCTCACTACCAATTAAACACAAAGAATCACTACCAATTAAACACAAAGAATAGAATGTCCTGTTTAAAAGCAGGGCGACATTTAAGTCATGCAGCTAAATATAATCTCGTGGAAGATGCTGGATTCTTAATCTACAAAAAGCAGCATCCTACTTCTTGAATTTGTCTCCTGTTTTTCAGCTTTCCACTGTTGTTTCTAGTGCACAAGTCCTGCTGACTGAAACCTATTTCAACAGGTTTTTCTTGCCTTTTTTATCAATGCCATTATTTTATCAATATAGACTTGAAACAGAAGCATTAAAATCACAAAAATAGCAAACTTCTTTCAGAGATGTCACTTGAAATATTGCCAAACTTTTCCCTCATGGCACATGATAATAAGTCACCTGTGCAGTGCCAGAAATCCTTATATCAGATCTTCTGAAGAACAGTTCCTTATCTGATGATAATCCTGGCTCTCAGACATTGTAACCACATTAACTCCATGTGAGACCCATTTCACTTGACACTGCTGTTTTTCTCCACAGGCACAGCCTACACTACCCTTCTAATGGCACCATCTCAATTAAGCACCTATTTAATTTCAACAATTCTTTGCTTCAGTGCAATTGCTTTTTATGCATAAAGATCAGCTTCTTGTGCTATTTAGGATGTGCTTCTATACCAGGAGATGGCAACAAAATATTCAAGAAGGATGTCTTTTATAACCATAAAGTTGTGTGTCACTTAAAACAGTATTCAGCTTCAGCATCAAAAAGGATCTAAGAATCATAACCTCTAATAAAAATAAATTCTGAACTAGTGACTCAGAACTGTACTGACTAGACCTTTATCACCACACTTCTATATACCAGCAATTTTCAAACAGCACTGAGTATACTGAACAGTACAGCTGTAATAATTTAGATATATGTCCCTACAAAAATGAAGACTTAAGAACACTGAACTGAAAAGAATGTTTCTACCATGAACTCATGCTGTCAAATTATCGAGATTTCGAGTTGACAATTTATCCCCAAGAATCGCACAGTAGAATACAAATACAAGGATGGCAATGTTAGAGGTGACAAAAAAAAATCACTCCAAAGCAAAGTGATAAAGGCATTAAGGACAAAAGCTCCTGCATAACTTTGCATAAGGAAGTTGTGAGGAAAAAAGTAGTTCCTCCTACCCTACTCACTTTCACCAATGAGAAGTCAATTCTGAATTAAATAATTTCATTAAAAGAATTCCTAAAGGATCCTACAGGATCTCAAAAATCTACAGTAACAGACCAGTTTTTACACGCACTCTAATCTCATGGTTTGCTATGCTCACTGTTAGTTATTTTTAATCTTAACATCCATACTGAATTCCCCTCTTTTGCATTTACCTCATCTCACCCATTCTGCCAGCTTCATTTGTGTAACAGTAGATCATTAGGCTTTGAACAACAGCAAAGGATCCACATCTAGTTTAAGAGAGCACAGGTAAAGCAGCAGTGCAGAATGTTGCTACCACTAGGCTTTTTCAGTAGTGTGGAACTGCATGGATGCAATGAGTGATTAAGCATGCCAGAATTCTTCAGCCTAAAGAGAAAGAGAATCCTCTGAAAAGCCTCTGAAGTAACTGAACAACCTCCTCCAATGAAAATGTAGTTAGATTAAAAAAAACAAACCTACAACAACAACAATGCCAACAACACAAAAACAAACCAAACACACAACCAAAACATACCAAATGCACACAAAACAACAGGGAAAAAAACCAAACCACCACAAAAGTGGTAGCTTCCCTCACAATATGTAATCTACCTGGAGAACTCCTTGCTACAGGGCAAGTAAGATGATAAAGACACACAAGTTACGACAAAGACTGGGCAAGTTCCAGAAAAGAAATCCACGGAAGGATTACTAAGTACAGAAAGTACAAAGATCAATTCCAGGCCAAGAAGCTCCCAAGCCACAATTGACTAGACCAATATTGTGCAGAATCATCAATTAGATGCCTTTCTATTCTACTATCATTCACTAAACATCCACCTTCTGACCATTCATCATGCATGGCTAGATCTTTCCTAACTACATATTTCTTCTGCAAATTGAGCCCCAGCAATTGTTTTAACCTTTCAAGGAAGCCTATGAATGAGTGATCTTTTTTATTTTTCCCCCTTTTCTTTTTTTCTTCTCATCTTTCCAGTCTTCTCTCCATTTGGCCAATGTTCTTCCTAAAGATAGTAAGCAGCAATGAGCAGAAGACTTCCAGCTGAAGTCTTACTAGTCCTACACATGAAAACCATCCTGCAGCTTACTGCAGCATTTGCATCTTCACTAAAAGAATATCATTAAAGCTTTCATAGCTTTATTGGATGATAATGTTCTCTCCCAACTAAGAGACTTATTCTTCTGGTATTCTCCTTACCATTAACAAACTACAGATGGCTTCCTTGTTACACTTCACATCTCTCATTTTTTGCTTCTCTTGGGTCAAAAGTCGTAACATTCAATTTCAAATCTTGAAATCCTACTACAGGAGGTCACAAAGAGCTAGTTATTTCTTTCATTAATGAAAAGTCAGTGGCTGCCAGTATTTCAGAGGATTACAGAAGAAGATTTGTTTCTGTCATTCAAAGGTATTGAGCAGTTGTAGTGTAGCCAGCTGGAGCTGCTGTATTCTTGAGAACCACCTTGGTTAAAACTTACTGAGTTCGCTAATTTCCTGGTGCATGAAAGAGGAAAAAAAAAAGAGTATACTGAGAACTAGGCCACAACAAGAAAAACCCAGAGTTTTGCAAGTACCAAGAATTCTTTATCAGATAAACTTATTTTATCCAACCAGGCTATTAGGAGAAAGCAGAGCTAACATTCTAACAGACTGCCTGTTATGTTTTTCTAGGAAGGCTGACAAGGCATCCACTGATGTATTCTACCATACCAAGCATATAACCGGTACTGATAGATTACAGTCTCTTGAATCCCTGTCCAGCTTCATCTAGAGTCACTAACTTAGACAAGTACATTTATTAAGTTTGCTGGCACCAACAAGTGGTCTGTGCCATCAATATTGTTATCAGTGACAAACACATCACTAAAGACAGAGCATTTAGTACCAATTCAGGCAATTTTAGGGCAAGATGAATCACCTATGGGAAAATAAGGTCACACAACACTTGCTCAGAAAAGTCAGCATTGTTACTGCTACCACATTAATACATAAAGCATACACTTGAGTCTTATGTGTCAAGAACTACCTACAGGATTTTCACCTCCTAACTACTGGGAAGATTCTCAACTTCCCTTGTTCCTACAGCAATAAAATGTTTGACATCCATCTCAATAGCAGATCTCTTTCATATTTAAGTGATACAGTCTGCAGTTAGTCTGCTTCAGGCAGATACAGGAGGCAAAAAAGAAGAGACTATCATGGCTGTCCTGCATCCTTTGTTACACTTGTCACAAAGTCTTCAGAGAAGAGTGCAGACTGAAGAGACTCCTCCCCTTATGCTGCACAGATAAGGATTGAAAAGGACAGGGAGGGAGGCAGGGAGGAAGAGGAAACAATAATATTCATCATCATAGCATGGGAAAGCTTGTATCTTTGAAAAGGTATCTTCAACAATTATGATAGTATTCAAACAAATGTTCAAAGTTAAAAAGCAGCTCTCTCCAAGACCGTGAATTTTGAAACGGAAAAATTCACTACATACGCACATGTAAAACACTTACTTTAAACAAGTACCTGAAATATAAAACTTGTCTTGCTGATTTCATTATGGAAGAGTAACATTATAACAACCTACAGTAGCCTAGATAAGATCATGTTCAAATGTAAGTACTAACATGTGGTACTGATTATCAACACATACACTAAACTAGAAGCCCATATCCTGCTTAGAATACTAAATGAATGATCTTTTCATGTTAGTCACACTCACCGTTTCTTGCCTTTGGGACTCAGTGAGCTTTTCAGACAATTCTTCTAGAGTCTTTCTTAATTCAGCATCAGTCCTTCATAGAAAAATATAAGTAAGACAGTGCGAAAACTAAATATCAACTGTGATAATTTTAAGCAGCAATCTCCTGGATTTTTATGCTACTACAATTTGTTCTACAGCCTCTAAATTCCTAGCATAATTAGAGACCAGCCTCAAGTGGAAAATTCATCATAAAAAGCACTTCCATTCCTCAAGTGAAGATAATGGAGCATCTAGTTTCAAAGGTCAGGTATCACATCAACAAGTACAAAATTATGAACATGTCTACACTGTCCTTTTGAACAGTACTAGTTCCTACTAGGAATTAGAAGACTAATTTCTGTTATTGCTATTAGACAAAGCACCATATGTTAAGACAGTATGTACTTTAAAAAAACATTATGGCTTGCATGAGACCTTGCCCTGAAGATACTCCAGTACCAACACCAAACAAAGCTGTAACAAAAGAAATTCCCAAGTCCTTGTCATTTTGTCCATATATAAAAAAGGGGGGGGGAGCCACATATACTGTACAAATCAGAATTGATGGGTGTTATTTACATTTATAAATACGGCACAAGGTGACGTGGAATAAGTAGTTCATAGTACTGCTTTCCTCTACATGTTGTGCAATCCCCCACTCTCCCCAAAATTACTTTTCTTAAATACAAAAGAACAAAGGAGTTTAAGAATTATTTAAAAGCATAACAATTATTTTCCACACTATTCTTTACATCATCTTCTGTTTATACCGATTTCTTCTTGAAAGCTCCCGACTGATGTCATCTCCTAGGCGAACTTGTTCACTACTGAGGTCTCGAAGAGACTGGTGGAAAGAATGCAGCTGTAAATTAAAGTATGCAAATTAAGCCAAGGCTTAGGAACCCTTTTTTCTGTGATATTCCAAAAATACATATATACACACATTTTTAAATAAAGTAGATAAAAATAACCTACAAAATAACAAAATTCCATGAATTGTAGATGAGCCCAGATGAGTACATGAGCCTTGTATGCTTCTATTTCCATTAACCCCTCAAAACACTGGCTTATTCGAAGTTTAATTTTTCCATACATTATTTGCTAAACCAAGTTTCCGAACTGTGGGTTTTTTTCTATAGTTTAGCGCTTGGTCATTATGGTTACCTGACACTGCGCCATCTTTTTAGCCTAATGCAAAGCAAGTTGAAAGGTGTGAACAGGTGAAGTAAGGAGAGACACATTTCCTGCTAATAAATGCTAGTGTAAGTGAAATAAAGTTCTGCCCAGCTATATACATTACTACAAAAAGATGGCATATGAAATTGGCAGTGACCAAGCAGAACACTATGATGTATTCAGGAACTACCAAAGCATTAAGGAAAGGTATTTTACCTTACCCAAGACTTTACATACTCTACTAGAATGCTTTTTTCAAAGCTTGAGGGAAAAAAAAAAAAAGAGCATACATCTATTTTCCTCTGTAAAACCTCCCATTTTCCCCATTCAGCAGGCTCCCAATTTATTGTCAAAATTTTCAAGGGGGTAAATAAAAATGTAACAGGTCATCCATCCTTCATGAGATAAAGTGACAGTTAATCCATCCTAATCCAACCTACTGCTGTCAACAGCTCAGTGGCCAGAACCATGATTATGAACAACGCTGGTTTGTAATATCCCCTTGTTCTATGTCCAAGACTTAAACCTGGATCTTCCACAGCCCACCTGACTGCCCTCAACATTCAGACACAGGCATCACCATCTCTCACATGTGATTAACTAGAAATTTCAACCTGACCAAAGAGACTTTAAAAAACACAGCGTATTTTCACAATGTATCAGCCTAAGGAGAGAGTGTCAAATGTGCTAAAAGCCCATTCGCTGGAAAACTACGTTAGCTAGGAGCAGTCAGAATGGGAATAAAGGGACTGTGGTTACAGAAAGAAGAAAAAGCCACAGCTTTAGTTAAGCAGTACTGCTTTATCTCTGCCCCAATTTCTACCAATGGTCACAATCAATGACTACACTTCATCATTCCTCAAAGCACTATACTCTTCTTAGAAAAAAGTTAATGACTGAGTGAAGTCATATTCACTCACGGAAAAGCAAAACCAAGGAATAAACCAGCTGTTATCATCAAAACAGGAAAAAAAAAGCTATTTGCTTACATAGTTACTTAATACAAACTAGGAATTTTTAATGCATTGCAAGAACTCCCTTGAATAAAATTTCTAAGATATTTATAGAATATCTAGAAGTAGTCTAAAATAGTTCCAAGCTTTTTGGAAGCTTTGGAGGAAAGATTTCTATATAAGATTATTTCCTTCCAAGGACTGTGTTCCACACTAACCTTGTGGCAGGAAGGAATGGGGAAGAAATAGACTGGAAGGACAATGAAACAAGATTAAATAGAAGTCTAGTAATTTCTGTAGCACTCGGACTTTCCAAAAAGTCAACTGAGAGAATGTATTGTGGCTAAGTTTAAAATTAATTATCTGGAAGTTGAGACTGATTTAGTAAAGTCAACATGAACACCTCACAATCAGCTGCTTTTAATATTAGTCATAACACATTTCTCCTGGACAAATTAGTCCACACAGAGGGATTCACTCAAGCTGGTCTAGCCACTCTGTCTGAAAGAGCAAAACCAGGTACTGAAATCTCCTCTCTGTCTCTAGGATATAGAAAGTCTATAATCTTATCCATTAAAGTGATTTATTTTTTCTGAAGAGTCTGCAAGTGGACACAAGTTGAGGGGTATAAAAATTACCAGGGCCATACATATCCTCTCCTTCTCACATCATCTGCCTGAAGTACAGGGTCAAATTATCCCACTCACAGGTCAGACCTAGAATTAAGACGGAGAACTAGCTGGCTCAAAATCAATCCAGGCTACACTGAAGTAAACAGCAAAAGCACTAAGATCCTGTGCTATTAACTAAAGCAGAACAAACCCCTTTACAGGCACACTGGATTTCACCATGTAGATGAATGTTAATTACATATTCAGAGATGATTTTTCTTTCTCATACATGGCCTAAAAAGTACAGTGATTATTTTCATGCATTCCTTTTGATATCACTACCACCTGCATCTTTTTCTCTATGAGAGATTCGCATGAAACTTTATGACACTGACAGATACAAGAGGTTACTGCCTAATGAAAAATGGCACTTAACACTGAAAGCACATGTCATAGCTGAAACATTCTTAACTGTATCATCAGAATAACCTCATTTGATGTAAAAGCAAAGAGCCTGGTGACCACATATTGCCTATTTGGGGAAGCAACTCCCATTAGTGCTCTGTACCTGGTCCAAATTATCTGCCTCATTGACAAATCGAACACTTGCAGATCTGGACCTTCGATGTTTATTGCCCTGTGAGTCTCCATAATCCCTGAGAGGAGAAGTAGGCAGGAAGTGACGGTTCCCTTTATGAGATAAGAGATAAAAAAAAGTAAGTGGGAAGACAAAACTTCGTATGGGAAATTTTTCATTTTGCTTCATGAAAAACATGTGTTTCATCTTGCCAATATCTTTATAGGCCACATTACAGACAAAACTACTAAAGCTACATAAAATGCACAGGCATACTTCTTGTTTAGCTCTTCCCAGAATTCTTCTTCAATTTAAATATTTCTGGAATACATGTTTGTGATGGGTAAGAAAGAGGTTTCCTTTATTCCTCCAAGGAACAGGTAGTTTTTTCTTCGAAGTTTATTTACCCAAGCAACAACCTTTCCTTCATCTGGATCTATTACAGCTCCAAACTACAGCACCTCACAGCTGTTACATTAGAAAAATGAAAGTTTTAGAGCTTTGCACTAAAATACATTAAATGCTACTTCTGGAATACTCCTCCCAAATACACCCTTTCCTAAAACACAATGAATTTTCAGAGACATGTACAAGGAAAAACTACTTTTCTGTAGGTTATACATCAGTTCAGTCTTTCCTTTTCCACTAAGCCTTACATAATTTCATCCACACATCCATAATCTTATGCATTTAAAATTTAACTTCTATTTTTGCTGGGAAGCAAGCTTCAGAAGCTGCAATATCTTTTGGATTTAGCTTTAACTTGTATGTACCCACTACTCATGCAGTGGACAAGGAATTTTCTCTACCGAAAGAATCGATGTTTCATTTAGATCTCTCGGGATATCAGCAGAAAAGACTATGTAACACAAAGCTATAAGAATTTACCAAATAAACAACCGCATAACTTATTGCACATCTACTAAATTTCTAAATGGAATTTCTTTGAAGTAGTCAATCATGACTTTTCATGACACTATCTTTACACATTTTTCTTCATCATTTCCTCTTTCCGTACAACAGCTATATGACATATTCAAGCACCTTAAGTATTTTACCTGACACTCCTTCTCCATCCAGATCACTAGGGTATAAGCTGGAGAGAGAAGCACTTCTCATTCCAGAGTTTCGGATTAATCGTTGGCTCCTTAATTGACCTATTGATTGTTCCAGTGTTTCTTTTAACTGCAAAGAAATTACAATTTACTGAAATATGAACACAGACTGATTCAAAAAAAAAAGCTTGTAAAATAATATTTTTTATTAAGACATTAAGAGAATCAAAACTATTTTTAAGCCAAGCATAGCTATGAATTAATAACAGCTTTTCTTCAATATCTTGTATGTCATACTCCCATAACTATAGCAAAACATGTTTCCGTTGGTAGCTTCAAATATCAAGTTCCTTAAAACAGTGGTGTAATACACCAGAAAACCTCAAAAGAAAAGTATATATCCTACAACCAAAATGAGAGCTATGTACCAGCAATGTTCAATAACAGGCCTGCAAAATTCAGAAAACAACTTCAAATATTTATTTTTTTTTCCTACCAGCCCTACCTGGAATCAATTTGACATATGGCTATCAAATTTCACTAAGCAGCTTTACATCAAGCCCTACTTTTAGTAGTTACACTTCCAGAAAAAGGCAACCATTTGCAACTTAACAGTTCAGAAGTAACTATATTCCTAAATAAGTTCCTCATTTTTCAAACTTGCGTCTTATTTTCTAAGATTGCATTTGCTAACTTTGGTTCTTAGCCGCTTGCTTTTGTCACATCTTTATTTAACAATCCACAAAACATCAATTTCTAAAGGATCACCTTTTCTCTCCCTAACACAGGCTTGTACACAATGATTAAATTACTGCTATATCCTTGTAGAACTATACACACTGTGTTGGATCTCTCTCTGGGTGGCACTTTTTTCCCAAAGCATAAAACACTACTTTAAATCTTTTCTGAATCTTCCAATGCTTGTTTAGGTTCTTTTTTAAGTATTATGTTTTCATTATATGGTATTATTAAAACAACTTCAGTATCACTAAGGAACTCTCACATCAAAAGCTTAAGGATTTTCTAACACTTTCTCAAAAAGACAGAGGCTACTCAGGGGAAAAAGATACAACAATGCATGTATGTTTTTGTACTCAAAAACCTAAAAGTTTTTAAAAAAATCATGAAAATGACAGAGAAGCAAAGAAAGAACAGCAATAACTCAATTTTCAAATCTAATTTGGTTCTCTCAGAGACTTATCTTGCATCCTTAATAGAGCAATAAAAACTGAATTAAGTTACACATGCTCCGTTTGCATGCTTTAGCTTTACAGCACTCATTTTCATCCTTTCTATATGAAACCAGACAGCTAGATTTTATTATTTTTATTTCTTTAAACAAAGAACCATGATAGTGTCCAGAATTAACAATCTTACTCTTCAGTCTGTTTCTTTAGAACAGAACAATGGTCAAAAAATTGTTTAAAAATTTTGAGTTATAATTTACATTATAGACATCGTTACATTTTAAGGTATTTGTGTTCTCTTAAAAACCAGTCTAATTATTAAAAGAATGAAGAGAGGCTACTGACAGAACAGAGATATTAAAAACCACAAATTTGAACAGAATATGCTTAATATTCACCAATCTGAATTCCATTCCTAAACATCTCATCTACAAGCTGCTTAAATCCCATCAAAACAGTGCCTAACATTTTGGTCCTTCCTCTTTTCTTCTTTCTTTTGTTGTTTTGGGATTTTGTTGTTGTTTTTGTTGTTGATTGGGTTTTTCAGTTTTGTTTTGTTTTTATTTAAAGACACAAGCATCAGTGCCATCAGAAAAAAAAAAAATTTAATAATGGACATTAAGTCAAAACTAAATTTGAGTGATGTCTCACCTTGATATTTCCTAATAGAAAATTTTTCCAGAATAACAATGTTGAACTATTAGCATTTGTTAAAAACAGACAACCTTAAATGGTTCCAATGCCCACCAGAAATTCCACAAATTGAATACCTAAGTAGACCTTATAAAGACACAAACAGCATTCAAACAAAAGAAGAAAAATTATGAGGCATATAATATCCCAAATTACTTTCAAGCAGAGCTTGTACATATTGATTGAGAAAGCAAGCTGTCTGAAGAAAACAAGCCTTCTTTTCTACATATTTGCTTTTTTCTTTCTCTCTACCCTCACATGCAAAATATTCCTACATCTCCTATGTATCTGTTTCAAGGCAGCAGCTGCTGCAGTCTGTTTGCAACCAAGTTATAAACCTTTCTTGCCCTACTAGCACTAATTTGTTTTACTTTCTCTGTCTAGACACCTGTATTCAAACTTGTAGAAGCTTGATATTTATAAGAATTTCACCTCTTCTGCAATTCAGAGAAAACTGGTCAAGAGATTCAGCAGCTGTTGTAGAATGACAGGAAAAAACCTACAGCAGTATGATCACAATCTCATTCCCTCAGCTTTTATCTTATCACTTATGCAGAAGAAACATGTTCCCTAACACTATTTCAGCTATGCACCTTGTACTTGGCATGATATCACAACAATCTATTCGGTGATTATAAACCAGAAGAGCAATGAAGCTACAAAATCTGTCAGATTTTCATTATATATTACTATAGTTTGTCTTAGATTGCTCAAATAAATATGAAAAGTTTCTATTCACATCTACTTAACTCTTGATATATTCTGTCCATTACTACCAAGTTTTCAGCTACGAATATTATTAGCAGAAAAGATTTAAGAAGTTAAGATAAACTGAAAGTTGCTCACAGTTGCTATTGCTTCGGTTTGTTCCTTGTTGTATTCTCTGTATTGTCCTAGCAAACGGTCAACATGTCTTAGATTTCTGTTGGTATCCTTAAAAAAAGTTTGAGGAAGAAAAGTCAAAACAGAAACCTCCTCTAATCAAACATTACTGTTATCTTTATTATTCTTGGTTTACAAGAGTAAATTGATGAGACAAGTGCTTTTTAAAGGGTCTAAGCATTCAAAACCCTATTCAAGTAACCAGAATCTGAAGATATACAGCATGGCTAAAGGGAAGGAAAAAAAAAACCCACACAAAACCCCCCAAAAATATACTTTCATTTACAGTACCACAGTAAGGTCTCAGCTGCAAATGAGAAGTTTTATAAGTTTCAGCCACTCTGTAGAAAAACCTTGTTAATCCAAAGATCTTAACATTACCTGCCTGTAAAATAGAATTAAACTAACTGCGAAATAACAAATTTTTGAAGATCAACACATCAGGTAAAGTCTTTGCATGAGCACTCTCTGACCAGATGAAGAGCTGGATCAGACAGCAGATCTGCTGAAAAGCAGTCCACAAAAAGCAATTAGCTTAAAATCAGAATTTCAGAAGAGCAGCTAGAAAGAGGTTAGACAGAAACAAGACAATACTCAAAAGTCCTTTTTAAAGAATAGTCAGATTACATCCTTATTAACTCATCTCTTTTCTAGCTTGATGATTATTTTCCAGCTAAGAAGTTTTGAAGTTTAAATTCAGCATTCTATATAGATTTTTCTCTTCTCACATACAAAAAAAAAATAAAAATATTGCCAGCCAAACAATGCCTCAACACAAGTGATAATATATAAGCCCACCCAGTCTAGGTACTCAGAACTGCCAGCTACAGCAGACTAGGAATGACTTCTCAAGCAATAAATGGTGTCAAGATAGCTAAATGTCTCCTTCCACTTGCCAAAGAGATTCAGAGATTTCTTCCACTGCCTCCACTGAAGAAGCAGGAATTATATGAACAATTTTTCCAGCTCGGATATGGATCTCTTACAAGTTTACAAATACTGTTTTTCACTCTACTGTTCCACATCTAGAAAATATTTGAATTGGAAATTAGCTTATCATGAGGGAATTGACTGCCTACTTATTTACTTTATCAGGCACTGGGAAATTTCACACAGTACAAGACAACAAAGTTGTCCTGGAACTTTCTGCTACAAAATTTAATGCTTCTTGTGAGAATCTGACAAAGTTTATTTGGCATTATTCAGTTTGCTAAGTTTATAAATAGTATCACCAAACATGTCATTGTTTCTAATGACATTCTATTACTGTCCGAAATAACAACTGTATAAAAGTATAACAAGCCACATACTTTCAGCTCAAAGGCAACATAATCAATTTCCCAAAACCTCCTTGGTTTGCACAAAAAGAAATGTTTCCCATCAATACAGTATTTTCCACAACTTCAGAAATTAAAATTTGACCCTATGTTACAGAAATGCAGGCTCTATAGATATTTTAAACCATATTTTGTAAACAACCTGTAAAGTGCTTGCTAAAGTATGGATCTTCTCTGTAACTTCTTCAGCATCATTGTTCCGAGCTCTGTTGTGGGGTGCTCTCAAAGGTGGCCGCCTTCCTATTTGACCTCTAAGAAAGTTGTCTGAATCACTGGATGAATCTGCCATTAGCATTTTGAAACCTAGGCAGGAAGACCAGAAAAAGAAATGGATGTTAAATCTTGATTGTAACTGAACAGTCTCTGACTTGGACAATATTCCCAAAGCAACTTCATAGACTCAGACTACATTAGCCTCAGATTACATTAGCCTTTCTTGTTCAGGTCAGCAGGATGTACTTTTGAAGCAAATCTTCCAACTGCTCCTCAGTTATGATGTTTGTTCACACCATGAAGCAGTGCCAAGAGGCAGAGCCCGTTAGGAGAAAACTAAATCAAAAGATGCATTCTTGCTACTTTTAAGTGTTCAGAACCCAGGATAAGACCATAGCCCAAAGCAAATTCTCCCCCCAAAACATACACTGGAAACATCAGGGCTTTACAAATTGTTCTGGTCTGCAGAACCATTTCCCTTTTCCTCACACTACTTGCTAAGCTATATTCAGATTGGCCAGGACCAACTAAGACAAATAACCCCAAGTACCTAACTGTCTGAAGCAAGTCTGAGAACCAGTATCTTAATGACTGACAGAGAACTGGAGATATTATGGAAGAAGGAAATGCACTGTCTGAAAAAGAAGGGAAAGGAAAGAAAACTGTGGCCAAGAAGCTATAGACTAGTCAACTATATTTAAATATGCAGAAAAAAATAAAATTTACTATTTTAAGTTTCCAACAAAACATGTGCTCTCAAAAAACAAAAAAAGCAATGTATCCATTGATTTCAAATCAATCAGTCTGGCACTGACTAAATTTTTTCAACAGGGAAGATGTAGTAGAGGTCACTTTTAAGAAAAAAAAAAAAAAAAAAAACTCCATTGCACACACATGACTTTCACAAAGGCAAGCTAAAGAAACATGAACTAAATTAAGATTTCCTAAAATGGAAGCAAAACTGGGTGAGCATCAGAACTCAGAGCAGTTAACAGAAATTAACCATCAAATTGGAGAGAGGCATCAAATGAGTACCTAGAGCGAATCTACTATATATTTTCATTAAATGAACTGATAATGTAATATGTTTATTAAGTTTGCGGCTGACACTATTTGTCCAATTGGACAAATACAGCAAGGAAAACTTAAGTTAGTAGGAGAAAGAGGGAAAAAAGGCTATTCAAGAGCTTTAGTATTTCAAGTTGAATTTGCATCAACAATGTCATGTTCTAGAAAGAAAAAGCTAACACCATACAAGATGTAAAAATAAAGGTAATTTTGCAAATTGTGAAATATTATTTCTTTTATCCAATGTTAATTCGACATAAGCCAGATGTTGATGCTGGGGAAATTCACTTGATTAGAGTTCAAAAATCACTTGAGGCAGAAGAAACACAGCTTGTGAGGAAAGAATGGGGATTGATGAGTCTTAAGACTGGCAAAGTAGAAGGGGGAAAATAGGATAACAATAACCAGGTGTGGGAAAAGAAAGTATTAAAAGCTATAGACAGCTATGATCAGTATAGTAAAGTCACATACTAACTGATTAAAACTACAACTCTCATAAGGTAGGTTAGATAGAATTTTTTTCTTAAACTATTACACAGTGCAGCAGTTTGCCTAAAAGTCACAGAATCACCATCACAAGATCTGTGTTAACAGCATCTGTTGGGAGAGACAGTCTGAGTCTACTTTGGGGAAGAGGAAATAGATTGGCAAACTCTTGAACTCCCTTTGGTCCTGTAGTCAACACAAAAAAAGCCACAGTAAAGGTGTCATTCTTCTAAGCATTAGAGCCAAAGTTTCCCAAAGAAACAATGGATGAGATTCAATTCTTATATTGTATTTTATAGAGAGGCAACTTGATGTTTTTCCAGAGCCTTATATTTAATTTTTAAAAGGTTGTAAATTTGCATCCCCCAAACTTGGATAGAAACCTTTCAAACATGAGAGTAAATCAAAATACTCAGTCCGTGCTCAAGTACATCAATATTCCTTACATTTTCTGAAGCGATTAATTTATCTCATCTTCCCTTCCCTTATCTCACTAAACCACATTTTTACTGCCAGTATCAGAATTCACTATTCCAGTGCCTCTCACTAGTCGGCTGAAATGAAGTCTAAATGAGGCTGAGAAAGCATAAACACTGAGCAGTGGGAAACAGGAAATATTAGATATTTTCAAAGACACACCAAAAAAAAAGAAATAAAACACCAGTACAAATAACAACATGGAATAGTATTAATTTTCACCATCATTCAGTACAAAAAAAAACAAACTGTCTTGCAAATTACTACATCAAACTGTATTTTCCCCTCGACCTTTACTACTAGAACTTTATATGGACATCAGCAAGATCCATATTCCAGCACACAGATCACAGGTATCACCGATAAGCATGAAATGAGACTTCTCTCAAACAAGTTTGGCATCACTTGATCTAGAGTAATTTTGAATTCCTTCTATAACTGCACTGTCAGTTCTCTAGGCTAAAACATCTCTTTCTGATCTTACCAAGCATGACAAGCAGTACAAGCACTCAAAATCCAATAAGCAACTGAATCCGTGATCAATTTCCTCCAAGCTTAGCAAAGGTTTAAGTTTCAAAGCATTTTGTAAAAATATCTTTAAGAACCTTTAGGTAAAGGGGAGACCCTATTAATGGCCATACTAAGAATTAAGCACAAGATCAGCCTTATTAGGGATCAGAAACTCAACTCTGATACATTAATCCACAGAAATCTAGTCTTCATGTACTCATGGACCTATGTACCAGCATATTTTGCTTGACTTATCGTTCTTACTGTCACAACACATCCAATGTTAATGACCATAGCAAATGGTTGATGGTCTGTATCTGTCACATTATCGCAACTACAAAATCATAGTAAATGTTATTTTGGTAGCTTAGATTCTTCAGAATTCCACTCACAGTTTCACAGGAAGCAAATTCTCTTTTCCTCCCAAAAAGGGCAGAAAAGCATATGTTGGATTTCCTCTGTGTATAGAATACTTCACAGAAGTACCCAAGAGAGTTAGAAAATTAACCTTATATTATGCAATTTGTATAGCTTGTCCGTGAGTCAAACAGCTCCAAGTGAAAGATTAGGCTTAACTCTTAATTCCATCATGTCACATTTCTTTCTAGAAGCTGAGAGCCCAAAAATAACATCACTTACTACATTATCAGTTTTACATTAGTGAACAAGGGCTTTTTAAGGATACCTTAGTAGACAGAGAAATTTAGAACAATGAGACATATAAGAACATTCAAATGATAGAAAGTGTTTTAACTTATTGCCAGATGAAATGGTATAAGCCAGCAGAATTCCAAAGGTCAGTTATTGGATCTCAGCTGATGGGAAGGAAATTCTCAAAAATTTCTCAAATTTTTTTGAGAGGGGGCCTCTGAACACAGCCCTACACATACCTCTTGTTAGACAAGTATGAAAACTTGTAATGTCAGAAGAGGGATAGGCACTGATAGAAATTAATGAAAAACAGCAGTTGACTTATCTGCTGAAACCATTGTCCTGAGAAGTGTCTCAACCATAAGAGTCCCAACTACTGAAAAGCTATGACACTGGAGAAAACAAAAGGGAAATGAAGATTTACAGCAGAAAAGATTAATGAGTTTGTTTCCAGCTGTCCAAAAATAGGCTTACTAAGATACTTAATCGCCAAAGCACTGAAGAAAGGCTTGTAAACAAGGCAAACATAAAAGAAAACACTAGACACAGGAGGACGGTTTGTCTGAAGAAAACTTTTTATTTATGGTGAAGTAGCATTCCTCTTTGTTCCCATAAGCAACCCAAGAGGAACCGTAAGTACTTTTAAAGTCAAAAAAGTTTTGTTTCATATAAAGCAACATCCTCATTTTTAAAGGAATTACAGAAGTTTCACTTAATGATTTTTTTAAATCTAAAAAAGTAGAATTTGTACAAATATTCTGTATATATATATTCCTGTTAATTTAAACAAACAAACAAAAAAAAGCCTATTATCACTTTTTCCAAAAACCTGGACTTATTTCAGCACATGATCATACAGTCACCTTGATAGTGAGAATCTTTTGTCTTTTCCTGGCTTTCAGTCTATCCAAACAGATTATAATCTTTCTTGCACTGAGATAACGCATCAATACTTAGTATTTTCCTTCCCTGCAGAAAACAGGGCATTTCAGTTTCACTGAGGACTCTCTTGTTAAGGGATCGGCAGGGTAAAGCAAATGTGAAGTCCAGCAGACAGTCTCAACAGAAAGTTCTCCAGCTTAAGTAAACAAAAAATGAACTCAGTATACACAACCTGATTATTTCTCAAGTATTTTTATTTGTCTAGCTCCACACAGACTAATTTATCACTAGGTAACTAACTTAGTGGTAAAGGCATGCTTGAAGACTTATAGTTAAGGCTTAGAACAATAAAAAAGTTCGATAGCCATTTCAGAAAAGGACATGACACCTGAAAGGCTATTTCCTTCAGTGCTTCTAATTGAGCCAGCTTTCAAAAAGTCGGAAAGGTGAGCCAACATGCTGACATTTCACCCTCATGCTTGCAGGCACCAGTGCTACATTTTATTGTCAACTTGTGACACCCTGTTCCGAGGACTCTTCAGCACCACGACACAGAACGGTTCCTTCATACTGTTCACAAGTAAGCTCAACTAAGGGCCGCAAGTCCTCCTCCCGCCGAGCACGTATCGAACTTTACTAACACCTGGCCTCATCTCTGAGGGCCTCCAGGATCTTTTGCCCCGGACAGGGGCGTGAAAGTCCCGGGGACAGCGGGACAAACCCAGAACGGTGCCGGGGACGCCGGCGGCCGGGTCTCCACCAGGCCCGCGGGCTG